CCACCTCCACCCTCAACCATACAAAGCATCTGCATAATTTGAGGTTTTCTGTGCATAATTTTGAGTTTTTAGCTGTGCGATTAAAATCACAATTAATTGTGACTAATTTTTTTAATCACACAATTAATTGGGATCAAATTTTTTAATAACTTGGCAGCCCTATTATTGAAACAGGGCTGTCTGATTGGCAGTCTGTAGGCTGCCTGGAACCTGCATGGGATTAAATTACAACCTAGTCACTGCTCCCCTCATTGGTCTGACTGCAACAGCAGCCATCCCTGGGCTGCTCCTCCCTTCTCCAGCTGTTGCTTCTTGCCTTCACCCCCAAGAGCAGGCCAGTACAGCAAGCACTGTGGGGAGCTAAGGGTGAATATGAGGCTGTATAAGGACGGGGGGAGACAGGAGTAGAGCTGCACATGGGGGATTGTGCCCATATGGTGCAATGGTGGAGGGAGGTGCCAGTGAGGGAGCATGTTACAGTGAGGGGAGGGGGAGGAGGAACTGCATTCCTGTGCCTGCACATGTAGTTGGGGGAAGGAGGATTACTCCCACATGGTGCAGCAGGGGGTGGGATTCCTGGTGAAAAGGTGGGTGCCAGCATGGATGCACTGTACAGCAGGAGAGGAGTGTCTGCATGGCATGGTGGCCATGCACCATGTGGCCTTAGAAATTGGATAGCCTTCTATTAAAGTAAGAACAAGGTCTGATATTAGAATAGAACCAACAAAGTAACATCAGTAGCAGTAAGTATATTTATTTGTATTAGCACAGCAGCATAGTTCCAGTGATGATTGTGGCAAGTTATGATAAATGCTGCAGAACTTCAAAGGAAGACACAAGCCCTGCACTACGATGATTTGAATAATTATATAAGCTAGTTGCAGAAGCTATCTTGATGGTTATGAGAAACTTAAAACGAATAATTTATGTGACTAAATGCATCTAATGCACATCATACTATCTGTATGGATATAGCAGTGGTGAGACAGATACTGGTATCCTTCATCTAGGTCTGATGTTCATGTTGCAGGGTGCATCTCCAGGGGTGGCTGTGAAGCCACTGGAGTCCCTGCAGCCCTTACCCACTGTTTTTTGTGTGTAATCACCCCTTCATTCACCCACCACACCTGGATATACTTGAATTTATATAAGGGAGGCTGCCCCAGGGCTTCCCAATCTGCTCTCACTCTGATGACCACTAGGTTTCTGTGGTCATTGCTTTACAGGCTAATTGAATGGCTCCATCTGACCCTACACCATACCTTGCAGGTGTCATCACTCTTTGATGTTCCTGAAACCTCAGGTCCCACACTCAGCCCCCTTGGGCTCATAGACCCCCTGGTGCCACACACAGCCCCTCTCTGGGCTTTTGGACTCCACGGGTCCCACACTCAACACTTAGCCCCTCTCTGGACTCCGGTCCCCTAACTGGGCCCCTAGGGACCTCCTCCACTCCTTAGTCCCTTCCAAAACCTCCAAACTTTTGCTGGCTGCACTCCCTGTGTAGGCATTCCAGAACTGCAGCCATACTACTGAATAGATGTTCCTGCAGCAGCCTCCATGATCTTACTCCCTGCTCAACTCAGGGCCTGGGCTTATTTCCTATCTAAGCCCAGCCCTCTCCTAGTCTCATTAACTTCTCCATAAGTAGAGAAGTTGGGGTTCCCATCTTACAGAGACCTATTCACAATCTGCAAGGGTGGTCTTCTCCAGCAATGAAAGCCTACGTGGGTTCTGGTGTGAAGACATGGGACACTGGGACCCTGGTGCCTCGTGCCTCCTTGTGGAGACCTACTTAACCAACTTCACCCCTGAAATCTCTAGGGACCATCTGAGTAAATGAGGAAAGTAGAGCTTTCCCTGTTTATCCAAACCTGTCTCCAGAGATTCCCAGGTATGAGTCTCGGTGAGTGGGAAAGCCCCACTTTCCCTGCTCACCAGGATGTGCTCCTGGGATCTCCAGGGACAAGTTTGATCCAGCAGGGAAAGTGGGGCTTTCCTTGCTTGCCCAAACTTGCCTCTGGAGATCACATCAGCCCTTCTCCTGTACCATCAACAGGCAGGAGAAGGGGCAATATGTGTTATGTGTTTAGCCAAATGAGGCAAATCAGCTGTGCCATGCCATGACACATTTTGGCATAGCAGATCTGCTTTATTCAGTGACATCTATTTCTAGACTTAGAGTTCAGCCTTTTCAGCTTATCAAAAAGAAGAATGAATGGTAAGTTTTTGGCAATGTATAGCTACCTTCACAGAGAGAAAATCCCAAATATTCAGGAGCTCTTTAATCCAGCAGAGAAAGTGATAACTAGAACAAATGGCTGGAAGCTGAATTCAGATAAATTCAAATTTGAAATAAGGCACATTTTTTAACAGTGAAAAACAGGAAAAATGTGCCTTTGTGGAAGGTGTATTATAATTAAACATAAGTTATCGAGCTCAATATGAGACACTTGGGTGAAATTGTATGGCCAGTTCTATGCAGGCAGTCTAACTAGATGATCTAATCATTCCTTCCACCCTTGAGATCTATTAGACACTATTAGCTGTAATTTAGAAAGAATCCAGCTTCAAAGAACAACCCCTTAAAATGGTACATAAGTCCTAGGGCCTTTGAATGAGCATTAGTTTTAAGCATATATATATATAGATAGATAGATAGATAGATAGATAGATATCTATATCTATATATCTAATGAATTCATTGGGAAAGAAGCACATGAATGTCCTCTGAGGAGCCAGCCATGGGTTTGATCATCATCAGCATATGCATAGCAATGAAACCCATGTGCTCTGAAATCTTCAAAAGGTTGTAAACCCACAAAAAAACCAACAATGAACTAAAGAATGTTGAGGCAAGTAGGCACTCCCATATTCAAACCTGGAGGCCAAGAATAATTAAAACATTTTAAAGGATGAAGTACACAGTGGATGTGCCTCAAAAGTGTGCATGTACTCCTAAGTCTAATAAAAACCCTCACTTGTGTATATAGAAGAGAAAATTGCAAGCAGAATGTCCATTTGTTACAGTCTGTTACCTTTTTTGCACTTTGAAATAGTACTATTCTGCACTGGGGCAGTCTAAACAATGGTTTAAGAGGACTGTCAAAATAATAGCAAGAGCCAGCTAACATAATGACATGGAGCTTTAAACTGGCAAAAAATGTTAGTGGGAAAGATGGCACAGCTGTGGGGAATTATTTCTGCTTATAATTTAAGAAGGATTGTAGGGGAATTAGAGACCTAGCATTTGACCAATTTTGATGGGATTTAAAGCATGTGCTTCCAGTTAAGCATGTACAAGGGTGTTTTAGAAAGTAACGGCAATTTTGAAATACAACTACTTTATGTGCAGTTATTATTTACTGGACCACATCGCTTCTCTACATATTCGCAAATGATGGATGCATTTGACAATGCTGAAATGCTGCCATCAGTGTTCCCAGTGTAGTTTCATACTCATTAGGCACATCTACATGTTGTCGTATAGCATGCTATGGTGATGTAACAATCATGTGGGTCTACGTGTGATCACCAGCTATGTCACCGTAGCAGTGCGCTCCCCGGATGTAGTGCACTGCTATAACAATGTAACTAGGAAATCCAGGCATGCACTGCCCACACAGTGCAGAAATCTCCCCCGTACTGTACCATGCTTTTGTACTTCTAAAAGGAAGTACTAAAGCACACTGCCGTAGCAACATCACTGTATGGTGACACATAGACATGCCCAATACATACAAATGGTTTTATGTCAAAATTGCTGTTACTTTCTGAAAAACCCTCATACGCAAATATTTTTCTGAATTTAGGACCTAGAGAAAAAGGTAAATTTCTCCTAAAACTTATTACCCCTTCTACAGAAGGTATGAGACGAGGCTATTCCTCTGAAATAAAACCAGCATGGATGATCTGTGAGAATGGCATAAACCTGCCAACTAAATTATCTTGAAATGCATTGATTGTGGTATAAACATGGAAGGAGTGAAAAGTAAGTTTTTTAGACAGTCCGAAAGATATATACATGTCATATTTAATATTTGTTTTCCTGAACCTTCATTCAAGCTGTTATCTTAAGTACACAAGGCTTCAGTTTGCTTCTTTATTGTTACCTCTATAAGAGGCACCAAAAGCAGGTTTTGTTATAGGCATTAGTCAATTCTAGACATGATTCCCACACAACACCTATCTACATGCTCTGAGAGTCATGCTCTCAGGAACAGATGTGGAAAACCTGGCCTGACTTTGAAATGGAGTCAGGAGTTTCCACCCACTCCCAAAATACACTACGATCTGATTTCCACCACAACAGATGACAACCCTTGTCTAGTAATACTAACACTTATGGCCAGTGTCTATCAATTTGTTCACTTTTCTGCTATCAATCAAAATGGTATCATGTCAGTATACTGCTGGCAGCCTAGAGGAGAAAGTCTAGTACAGGGGTTCCCACAGTTTTTAGGTCACAGCCTGGCAAAACATGGCCTGGCAGTCAGAGCTGACTGTGGCCGGAATTTCTGGTTGAAAGACAGGTAAGGATACCCCCACCCCTTGGCCGGGGGGGGGAGGGGGAGGGGGTGGTGAGCCAAACCCTGCGCTGCTGCAGGACCTGTGGAAGGAGCTGTGGCCTCTCCACCTGGCTCTGGGGGGCCACGGTTTGCTGGTTTGTGGCCACTTCCACTCCGGCAGCCAACCATGCTGCAGACTGGCAGCCGACCCACTGGGTCGCAGCCCGGGGATTGAGAACGCTTGGTGTAGTTCTTGCTTTCAAAATGTCAGCACTACTTTGTGTGAAAATATTTGGGCAAATTTTCATTCTTTCAGTACTTCAGAGTACATTGACAAAAAGCCTAGCAACAAATCTATGCACATGCTTGAGTTCTATGTGGGTGAAGAGAGATTCGCATCATTGACTATGGCAGCTCTCTGTATTTAGATGTACTGGATTTCCCTTTGGCTTATGTCCAACAATAACCACAATTTTCTAAATTGATACTTACTTATACACTTCTTTCCATGTTCATCAAGTTCAAAGCCATCATAACATTGACACACATAAGACCCAGGTGTATTCACACATATCTGTTCACAATCATGTTTCTCAATGGCACATAGATCCTGAGCTGGAAAAAAAAAATCATTGCATGAATCAGACTTCTCTACCTTCTGTATTCCAATGGGGATTATAGATAGGGAAAATAAGGAAGAATGTATCAGACTAATATAATCTAATATAAAATATGTTTCCTGGGTAAATTTTGAAAATCTATGCTTTGATGAGCATAGATTTTATACATTGAAATCAGTAGTAAAACTCTCATTGACTTTAGTAGAGCATTTGATCAAGCCCAAGTACAGCTTGTCAAAAAATGAAAGAATGCTGCAAAACAAGCATTTATGCAGGATTTTGAAAATTCCATTTGTGCTTCAGGCACTTTTTTGAATTTTTGTTTCTACTTTTTTTGGACACTGGGGAGGGGA